CCATTGGGGGTGTAGGACATGAAGGATCTTGGTGCCGGGAATTAGAGATGTAAGACATAAAGGATTTTGGTACCCACCATTGGAGGGGTAGGACATGAAGGGTCTTGGTGCCGAGAATTAGAGATGTTAGAACTGAAGGATCTTGGTACCCACCATTGCAGGTGTAGGACATGAAGGATCTTGGTGCCGAGAATTAGAGATGTAAGAAATGAAGGATCTTGGTGCCGAACATTGGAGGTATAGGACATAAGATTCTTGGTGCCGAGAATTAGAGATGTAAGAAATGAAGGATCTTGGTACCCATCATTGGAGGTGTAGGACATGAAGGATCTTGGTGTTGACCATTGGAGGTGTAGGACATATAGGATTTATTTGGACAATTTCTACCCAGGGGCTTCCCACTGCTAACAAAATTGATCATTCTACATCCCACAAACAACATATCTAAAAATGCCTTTCGGTTCCTGAAAATAAGATGAAGATGTGAAATGTTCACAAACGGATCATATCCTGCCCACTGGCAGTACCACTAAATGTAGGAAAGACTTTGTATTTTTCAGACATTTTCAGTTTACCGAGTATATTTAGAAATTTAAGTGGAAAATATATATCCTGGGATTTTTTCTTGCATGATAGACTAGCCGATAGTGAAGATAGATATATTTATTAGAAACCTAAATAGGATGTAATTTTTTCTAAGGAAAATTAAAATAGATACATTACTTAAAGAACTAGAACACTGACAGGTCAGTAAGGGCCCCGTCTTGTGGCAATCATATCCCCCATAATCATCAAGAAGCAATCTGCCCATATAGCTGAGCTTGACGTTTGACATTTGGACTTCAAAAAGAATCGCAAGGAAGCAAAATATACATTTTACATGTACTATGATGTGATGTGTTTCCTTCCTCCTCCATATTTGCTGGGTTAACAGAAATGTAATTACCGGTGCAATACTCATTTGTTAGCTTTTATTTGTTATACTTCACCTTATATACCTTCTCCATCAAGAGCCAGGGTCAAAGCCAGAGATCCACTTTGTCTTTGACCTTTGGACCCAAGTGACCTTGACCTTTGGTCAGTTGACTTATTCTTTAATTCCGACCAACTTTGCTTCTTAATATCATAACAAAATGTTCATTAGTGAAAAATACAAAACTTGACCAGTAACCTGGAACTAAGGTCAGTTGACTCTGTGTTAAGGTCTGAACAACATTGCTTCATAATGTCATAACAAAATGTTCATCAGGGTAAAGGTACAAAATTTTAACCTTGACCTTTGACCAAGTGACCTTGACCTTTGGTCAATTGACTCCTTGTTTAATTCTTTGACACATTGCTTAAACCTGTCATAGCAAAATGTTCACCAGTGAAAAGATACAAAATGTAACCTTGACCTTTGACCCAATGACATTGACCTTTGGTCAGTTGACTCGTTGTTTAATTCTGATCAACTTTGCTTCGTCATGTCATAACAAAATGTTCATCAGTGAAAAGATGCAAAATTTGACATTGACCTTTGAATCTCATGACCTTGACCTTAACTTTTTACCTCTGTGTGTCTCTTTGTTTAATTCCGAACAACTTTTCTTCATAATGTCATAGCGAAATGTTCACTAGTGAAAAGCTACAAATTTTAACCTTGACCCCTGACCCGATGACCTTGACCTTTGGTCAGTTGACTTCTTGTTTAATTCTGATCAACTTTGCTCCATAATGTCTTAACAAAATGTTCATCAGTGAATACATGTAAAATTTGACCTTGACCTTTGAACCTAATGACCTTGACCTTTTACCTTGACTTTTTACCTAAATGTGTATTTTTATGAACTGAACATCTTGACCAAGTTTCATGTACATCGGTCAATAAATACCAAAGTTATCAGCCAGGAACAAAATTTGTGGACTGACAGACAGACAGACAGACAGACAGGGTGATTACTATAGGGCACCCGTATCTCCGATACGGGGTCCTAATAATATAAAATTAATTCCATTTAGGCATTTTTCTAGTAAAAAAACAATACTCTTGAAAAATTACAATGTCAAGACTAGTATATAACTTAGTTTTTTTTAACATGACATGTTTCTTCAGACAACATGCTTCGCAAAATCAACTGGAAATCTAGAATGTTGACACTCCCCTGAAAACAAACTGGATCCACCCCTGGTAATCCCAAACTTCACTTTCACTTTTGATTAGGGTACTAGTGGAACTGCTTATAATCTCAAAACCCTTCATCCAAATGCATTGAGTTGAATATTCCATGTTCTGTTTTAAAATTAGATGGTAGACACGTGATCCCGGAACTCAACCCCTTTGTTAACGAACAGGGAAGTAAATTATAGAAACCTGGGAGTGTCGTATTTTTTACGTGTTTTGCTAGTAAACCGTCTACACGACTAAGACTAAGAGTTCATAATAAAAAAGTTCATGTGTGAGTGCGGTTCTATTCATGTGAAAGACTGTCAGTGGTAGAATGATAACCGGTTTGACAGGTAATGTGCTTTTTGTACCCAGCGAGACCCATACTCATTACCAAGCAAGGACAAACTAAAATGTCAACGCCTACTTAGAAACGACAGAAGGAAGAGATAGTCACTGGGTCTCAAAACCAGAAAAGATTTTTTTCATTTTTTTTTTATTTAAATCTCAGTTGAAAGCTTTTTAACTTGCACTGTCAGCTTTAAGATATGATAGATATTTATTAGAAACCTAAAAAGGTTTCTTTCATCAGAAAATTAAAATAGATAAATTACTAAAAGTAAATTCAGGCATTTTACTAGAAAATAAACAAGAGCAAAAGAATGATTAAGTAAAGACTTAGATTGAAACCCTTGCGAAAGTGCAATACAAAGACTGGTACCTAATTACGTTTTGTGTTACATGACATGTTTCTTCGGAAAAAAAATATCGCTCCACCCCTGGTAATTCCAAACTTCGTTTTCACTTTCGTTTTTGATTAGGGTATAGTGTTACTGCTTATAATCTTAAGAAGACTTCCAAATGCATGGAGTTGAATACTCCGTGTACTGTTTTAAAACAAGACGGTAGAAACGTGATACCGGGACCTAACGCCATTGTTAACCGACAGGGAAGTTAATTACAAAAACGTACATGATAATTTGAAGATACATGGCGGCCCAACCCCTGATACCATTTTCAGTGGATTGAATCCCTTCCGTTCGTGGAATTAATTAAATACACTTAATCTTACATTCAGCATACGAAGGTTAATCATATTACTTACTTGTTGATGATATTTACATAACAGTTTTGAAAACCTTAGGGCTTTTTATGCCCGTCTGCCAAACGAGCCTTCTTCATTCGGGACTCGGCCAGAAAAAGGAAGTATAAATTGGTTGGTTGGTTGACGGGTGACTCCACCCATGCGGGTTTCGCCTCACTGATCTGTCGGCGTTGGGATGTTATAGGCCAGATCAGTCGGAGACTGTCGGCACTTTCCGGGGCAAGTGATGAATATTGTATTGTATTCTCATGTAATCTAACAAACTTCAAAGTAGGCCCTATTTATATTTGAGAGAGAGTGCCCGTCCTTTCTAATCAAATGATCGTGATTGGTACAAAGCACCCTATAATCCCGTCACTACATTCCGGTTATTTCATATTTTCCGCGTTTCGGAGAATAGCGGAAAATAATTGTCCTATAGGTACGGTATTCGGGTGTTTTCGTCGGGTATCGTAGGAAGGATTTATTGTCCAATGAGAGAGTGACGCGTTGTACGCACGTGCAAGGTAGGAAAGTGTGGTAGGGCAAACGAGGTATTGGTCATTCTAGCCGTGGACACCAGGGCGTAGTCAAGCAAA